GGGCCTTCGGGTTGGGTTGGGGTGGCCTGGTAGGTGGCCAGTTCCTGGGGAATCCAGGCCGCGATGGCGCGGATACGGATAGAGTCAAGACGCCGCTGAAAGAAGGACCTCTCTGGGCTCAGGAGGGGCCCTGGGTTTGCGGGCCGCTCCTGAGACCTGTGCCGTGGAGCCTGGTTGGGCCCTTGGCCTAGGCTTAAGTCGGGCCTGTCCCTCTACAGGCGGAATATTCGAAAATGGCCAAAAAATAATCAGGGGGCGATGTTTCTGGTATTTTCTGGCCCTTTTGGAGTATTCCCCCTCGATCCTTCTTCCCAGACCCCCAACGTCACGATTTTTTTCATGACGTCGACCCCCAGCGGTCTGGGCCCGTTCCCCGGAACCAGCTTTTGTTCGTCCTAGGTCGTTTTTGTCACGGCCCCGAGGGCCGGCAAGCGCCCCCAGGGGCCGGACGGTGTGAGCCACTCCCCGCCGTGATCTCTTCGTGCCCCGAGGGGGTCTGGCTTATGCCTTTCCGGATGCAGTTCCTGGCTCAATCCCGCTTTATCCGGGCTTAATCCCGCGCCATCCCGTTGTATCCGGCTGAATCCCGCTTCCTCCGAGGCCCACTCTGGCGCAACAGCCCCCCAGTGGGGCTTACTCCTCCTTGATCCTCCGACGGAGACCTCCCAGTAGTCGCCTCCTAATGCGTTCCTTCTGGTCGCACGGTGGCCGTACGGTCGCCGCTCGTGTTGAGTCGGGCCTGTCCCTCTACAGGAGGAAAATTCAAAAATAGTCAAAACATAGTTTGTGGACTAGTTTTTGCACATTATTTTTCCATTTGGGGGCATCTTGTGACTATTTTAAAACTTTTCGCCCAAAATCTTCCTGTAGGAGGAGAGGCCCGACTTAAACCCATAATGCAAAAACGCTCACCAGGGTCACTCCTGCGTGTAGCCGACTCGTTTTTCGGCGCGGATCCCGCCGTGGCGACGAGGAGCTTCCAGGAGGCTCACAGAAAGAAATCTGCCTGGCGAAAAGCCCCACCAAACGCAGTTGTGAATACCGCACTTGCGAATACCATCTTCGCCCACGCTCCCTATCTGGCCACGGCTTCCCGTTGGAGCCCGACATGCTCAGGGACACGTTCGCGGTGGTTTTCGCGGGCGCCGACAACGACGAGGACGGCGCCCCCCTGACCGAGGAGCAGAAGCAGGAGAGGGTTCTTAGAGCCATGAAAGAAGCTGTCAGTGGCGCCTTCGGTGGAGCTCCTATGGGGCCACGATCCTCGTGATGGGTGTGACGAAATGACCCGAGGCCGCCATGCGAATCCTGCCGCTGGGGCCTTCGGTGGAGCTCCCTATGGGGCCACGATCCTCGTGATGGGGTGTGCCGAAGTCGCCCGAGGCCGCCATGCGAACCCTGCCACTGGCGCCTTCGGTGGAGTTCGGCCACGATCCTCGTGAGGGGTGTGCCGAAGCCGCCCGCGGCCGCCATGCGAACCCTGCCGCTGGGGCCGTCGGCGGAGCTGCTCCCTATGGGGCCACGGTTCTCGTGGGGGGTGCGCCGGAATGGCCCGAGGTTGCCATGCGAGTTCCGCCGCTGGGACCTTGGGTGGCGCCCCTATGGGGCCACGATCCTCGTGATGGGGTGTGCCCAAATGGCCCGAGACCGCCATGCGAGTTCCGCCACTGGGACCTTAGGTGGAGCTCCCGACGGGGCCACGTGTGCCGACGTGGCCCGAGGCCGCCGTGCGAGTTCCGCCGCTGGGACCTTCGGTGGGGCTCCCTATGGGGCCACGATTCTCACGTGTGAGGGGTGTGTCGAAGTCGCCCGAGGCCGCCATGCGAACCCTGACACTGGCGCCTTCGGTGTAGCTCCCTATGCGAAATGGCCCGAGGCCGCCGTGCGAGTTCCGCCATTCGGACCTTAGGTGGAGCTCCCTATGGGGCCACGAAGCGCGTGAGGGGTGCGCTGGGGTGGCCCGAGGCCGCCATGCGAGTTCCACCACTGGGACCTGAGGTCGAGCTCCCTACGGGGCCACGAAACGTGCGAGGGGTGTGCCGAAATTGGGCGGTGCCGAGACCGATGCTGATGCTGATGATGTTGATGATGATGATGATGATGGTGATGGTGATGATGTTGATGATGATGATGAGGATGATGATGAGGATGAATGGTGATGGTGATGATGATAATGGCGACGATGATGATGATGGTGATGGGCAGAGGGAAGAGGGGGAGGAGGGGGAGGAGGAGGATGAGGAGGAGGAGCACGGGGCCTCGTCTCTTCCAAACGAGAACCCAACACCACAGGATGGTAGGGACAAATCGAATTATTCCGATTGGGAAAATCGAATTGCCCGACGGAAGGACTCCACATGAGAATCTTCCGGGCGAATCTGGAAAAAGCCCTCACCATCGTCCTCGTGGTTGGTGAGGCGTCCTGGCTGTTTCTTCTGCGTATATTTCTTCTCGCCCTGGCGCGGGCCCCCCCCCGCTCCCTACGTTGCCCCCGACCTCGCCCTCCTGTTTTGGCTCCGGACATTCAGAAAATTGCCCGGGAGTGGTTTTCTGGGAACACGAAGAACACGAAGTGGCCCACAGTTGGCTCCGGGCATTCAAAATGTGGCCCGGGAATGGTGTTCTGGGAGCACGAAGAACACGAAGTGGCCTACAGTTGGCTCCGGGCATTCAAAATGTGGCCTGGGAATGGCGTTCTGGCAGCGCGAGGGCCCAAAAGTGGCGACAGCTAAATGAATTTAGTGACCTGTCGGATTAGTAACATGATCCGCGGGCCCCATAGGGAGGGGGCTCCCGCTGGAGACTTCCTCCAATTCACTCGCAAATGTGGCCTGGGAATGGCGTTCTGGCAGCGCGAGACCCCAAAAGTGGCGTTAGTTATAGGAATTGGATGACCCGTTCGGATTAGTAACATGATCCGCGGGCCCCATAGGGACGGGGCTCCCGCTTGAGACTTCCTCGCAATTCATTCACAGACGAGGCCCAAGGCGAGTGAGTGAGTGAATGAGTGACTGACTGACTGGTGATGATGATGATGATGATGATGATCATCATCATCATCACACTTTCTCACGCGCGCACTCATCATCATCACATGTGAGTTCATGAGCGTGTGAGTGAGTGAGTGAGTGCTGATGAGTCAGTGAGTGAGTGAGTGAGTGAGTGAGTGAGTGAGTGAGTGACAGAGTGAGCTAGTGAGTGAATGAGTGAGCGCACGAAGACAGAAGTGGAGAGGGGGAGAGCTGAGGAGGTTCCTGCGCGGGGGGTCCAGAGAAAGCAAGCAACCCACTTTGGATGTGGGGAAAAACGTGGGGAGGGTCGCTGTGGCCTCGACTGGACAGGTCCGACTTGCAGTCAACCATGACCAGACTTCCCAAGGTTACCCTTGCATCCTCGCCTCCTCGGCCCATCCTTCGCCGCTCTCGCTTGCCGCGCCCCGCTCGAAGAGCTTCGACATGGGCGCCCAAGGCCCTCTGCACCCCTGTATCGCGCATCCCTGCTATACGGGTCGACTGCACTCCTCGACTGGGCAGGCCCGCCTTCATCCTCATGCGTTCCTTCTGGTCGCACGGTGGCTGTGCGGCCTCCTCCTCCTCCTCCTCCGCCTCCTCCTCCTCCTCCGCCTCCTCCTCCTCCTCCTCCTCCTCCTCTTCCTCCTCCTCCTCCTCCTCCTCCTCCTCGTGGGAGGCGCCGGCGGCGGGCCCGGGCGCGGCGGCGGGGGCGGGCGGCGGCGGCGCGGCCGCGCCGGGGCATGGGGCGCTGCCGCTGCCCGCGGGCCTGCGGGCGCGGCGGCCGCCGCCGGCCGCGCAGCGGGCCGCCGAGGGCACCCGAGGGAAGAGAACTCCTCCTCCTCCTCCTCCTCCTCCTCCTCCTCCTCCTCCTCCTCCTCCTCCTGCTCCTGCTCCTGCTCCTCCCTCCTCCCCCTTCCCCTTCTCCTCCTCCTCCCCCTCCTCCTCCTCCTCCTCCTCCTCCTCCTCCTCCTTCTCCTCCTCCTCCGCGAGGTTTTCGGACGTTTTCGGGGTTCGAGGCTTTCGCGGTTTTCGCCCCGGGTCGTGTGGACGGTCCCGAGGGTTCAGTAAGGGCCCCCGGGAGGCCGAACATAATTAGCGAAACCTGTCCCGCCATGTTTTATTGATCATTGATGGCCTGAGGGCGAGGAGGGTCGTCGCCGCCCACCGAACCACCCCAACCCAACCCGAAGGCCCCGATTTGCCTTCCAGTTCCAGTGGGGGGGGGTCCGGGGAACATGGGCAAACACACACACACACACACACACACACACACACACACACACACACACACACACGAAGCCCGTAAGTACCCCCCCGACCCGAAATTCGGGTCTTCGGGTTGGGTTGGGGTGGCCTGGTGGGTAGTCGATTCGGCGGCGAGCGAGTGGGGGGGGTTCGAGGTTCGAGGCTTTCGGAGGGTTTCGTCGGTGCTCGGCGGCTTTCAGCCTCGGGATGCTTGCCAGCAGCTGCGCCTCGCCGAGGGCGTTCCAGGGGTGCCCGGATCGTCCCGAACGGTCGCCGGAGAATCGAGATATGACCCACGCGCCCGGTGGGAATTGAATAGGAGAAGGCCTTCTCAGAAAGCGGCGGGACTTCTCAGAAGCCCTCGCGCCCTCTGAGAGGTTTCTGTGTCTTCGGGGAAGGCCTGGAGCACTTCTCAGAAGGCCAGGGTACTGCCGAGCCTTCTGAGAAGGCCCGCCCCTCCTCACTTCCCTCCCGTGCTCGCCGCCGGACCATGCCCGACCGAGGAGTCGTGGGACCATGTCGGTGCCCATGGAGCATGGCTTGCGTCGGCCGTCGCCGATCTCGCGAGGGTGGAGGAGGGGGAGGAGGAGGAGGAGGAGGCGGAGGAGGAGAGAGAGGCGGAGAGACGAGAGAGAGGAGGAGGAGGAGGAGGAGGAGGAGGCGGAGGAGGAGGAGGAGGCCAGGATATGCACGGCGTTTCCGCGTTCAGGTTTGCTCATGGTCCCCGCTCCCTGCCCCCTCCAGGCACGCCCGGCCTGCAGCGGGACCGCGTGCCAGCGCCGCGCGGGGCCGTGCCCCCGTCGCCGCCGCTGGGCGATCGAATAGCAATCCACGGCACAGACTTTTGAGAGTTGGGCCTGCCCCTCTACAGGGGAAATGTGCAAGAATAGTAAGCAAACAATGCGGGGACGATATTTTGACTATCTTTGGACACGCCCGACCTGAGCACAGACAGAATCAGTCGGAGCTCCGCGCGGATTTCCTGGATCGGCGCTGGGTCCCCCCCAGCGGCGCCCCCCGCGCAGCCCCTGCCGCGCTCCGCGCGCCAGGGAGGGGGGTGCGGGGAACGTGTTTGCCCACATCCTCTGCAGCTTGGAGATTCGGGTTCCTTCCACCAGAAGCCCGAGGTGCACCCTGGAGGCTCGATGCTTGTCCATGCGCCGTGCGGCTCGGCTTTGTGGCGCCCCGTCCAAGAAAGTCCAGGACGCCCTGGAGATGGCTACACAGCTCTTGCCCGCAGGGGGTCCGGTGCTGATCGCAGAGGTCCGCGCAGAGCTCCGCGGGTTGATGGTTACGCCGCTTCTTGCTCCTGCACAGGCGAGGCCGACGGCGGGGGCGTGGTGCCGCCCGTGTCTCAGCCGGACGTGCAGGCGGAGAAGGCGTTCGGGGGTCGCGGGTCGTGCAGAAGAAACATGGCGGGAGGCGTTTTTGTTGTTGCTGTTTTCGGCCTCTGGGTGCCCTCTTCCTCCGGCCCTCGGGACCGCGAACAGGAGGGCTCCGGATGAAGCACCGGTCCGGGGGAATGGGTCCAGACCGCTGGGGTCCATGTCATGAAAGGAATGGCGTTACCAGTTTTAAACATGTCCCTATCCCTGTGTTTGGCATCACCTCACCTCGATGTTGATCTTAAGGGCTCCCTCAGTTTCTGAGGGCACATCCCTAAGGTTGTCCTCGCGTTTTGCTCGCCCATCCTAGGGATAGGGATACAGCCAAGACGCTGCAATCAGGAACAGTTTGGATTCGGAAGGGCTCGATGTATCTTACGTCCTTCCGTGGTTGTTCCCCTAGCCCTTCGCGTGCACCCAGGCTTTTTTGAAGCCACAGAGGGGCCTCGTTCCTTGTTCGGCGGTCCTCGTTTCAGCAGCCCGACTCTAGGCTCGAGGCTGGGCGTCAGCCAACCCCCTGTATGGCTGACCCAGCTATGGGAGCCACGCGGGGCCGATTCCCCCGTTCGCCGAGGGCGTTCCACTGCTCGCAAAGTGCCTACTTGCAAACCTCCGAAACACACACACACACATCCACATATACAAAAACTTATATATATACATTCACATATATATACACATGCACACATATATATGTATATGCATATATGCATATCTATGCATATATATATATATATACATACATTTATACGTATACACATACATATAATCACATAATATAAAATATGCTCCTCGATGCACAATCTCGCATATCCCCCGCGGCGGAGCCAGGCCATTTGCGGGTAGTTACTCTGCGAGCCGCGGGCCCGGGCCGGGGAGCTGCGGAGCGGCCGGCCGGGCTTTCGCTGCGGACGAAAGGGGGGCGAGTGGGAAAGGAGGAGGAGGAGGAGGAGGCCAGGATCTGCACGGCGTTTCCGCGTTCAGGTTTGTCGGGATGGACGAAAGGGGGGCGAGTGGGAAGGGTGGGGTAACTGCGAGATCTGCTGTGTGCAGCTGGCTTCGGCCTCACCGAGGGGCCCATTCCTCGAGACCAGGCCGGCTCCGGCGCCGGGAGGCGCCGGGGAAATCAGCTATGCGTGAGCTGATTCTCCCCCCCCCCTTTTGCTATCCCCCCCCTCCGCCGGGCCCGAATGGCCCTGGCCGTTCGACGAAATTGGCGCTGACCCGGCTTAGTGCGTCCTCGAGGTGTTTCTTATCATGTCCGCCTTCCGCGACGGGGAGCGGTGCGCCAGGACCCGAAGAACAAACCACGGAATGATTATATCTGTACGTATATATATATATATGTATGTAAATATGTATTTTTATTCATATATATATATAATAGATATAATTGTTCAGAGGTCCGCGTATTTCTTGGATCGGCGTTGGCCCCCCACCGGCGGCGCCTCTGGCGGGCTCCGCGCGCCAGGGAAGTGGGCCAGCGCCGATCCCAGAAGTCCGCGCGGACCTCCAGAGAAATGTTGTTGTTGATGTTTCTTGTTGCCCTGAGGACGATGGGGCTGGCGCTCACGCGAGCGGCTTATCCAGGCCGCATTCATTTCCGCGTCATGCAGGCCATCGGCCACCCCTCCGACGGCTACGGTAGGTTCATGCGGCGTTGGCGCGCTGGCGACGCCAGGAAGCACAGAGGGACACGGTGACGCCCCTGGACCCGACGCAATTCAACCTGGAAAGATCGGGGCCGCGATCCATTCGAGAATGAACGCTCGACTCGGTGTCAAAAGCACCGCTGCGCGCGCCGAGGCCGCACGAACCTGCCGTACGTCTCCTGCATCGTGGCCTTCGCGCGCAAGGAGCTCGCGGAGTTCTGCGCGGCGCGCGGCGACGCCGCCGCGTGCAGGGCCGCCGTCCTGGAGCGCGTGGCCGTCTGGACCATCCCCCTGGAGATGGGCAAGGGCCCGGCGCACCAGCGGGGGCTGCTGAACGAGGTTTGCCATGGGGGAAATGGGCCCTTCGGGGGTGGACAGAGCCCCCACCCTGACACGTCGATTAGTGAATTGTCATCTTTCGGTACTCGAGGGGGCGCCGCGGCCGTCATTTTCCAGGCTTGCGCCCGCCAGGTTTGGGCCCGAGGTCGTTGTCTGAAGTCGGGCCTGTCCCTCTGCAGGGGAGAATTCAAAAATTAGTAAAAAATACTCTGGCGACGATGTTTTAAATTTCTGTTGTGGCTAGTTGGGGGTATTTGGAGGATGTTTTTTTTTTGGGGGGGGGTTCGCCCAACATCCGCGTGTAGGGGGCCAGGCCCGACCTAATCGTTGTCACGAAACCACGCTCTGCTAAAGGGGGTCCTGTCCATCCCTGGCGCCCTACGGGCCGCCCCTCCTGGACAAGGGCGGCCGCCGTGGCCTGCACACGGCGACGCGCGCAGCGCGATCCTCTTCGCGCCCCCGCGGGTTGACTTAGGATCGTCCTCCTCCTCCTCCTCCTCCTCCTCCTCCTCCTCCCTCCTCCCTCCCTCCCTCCTCCTCCTCCTCCTCCTATATCCTCCTCCCCCTCCTCCTCCTCCTCCTCCTCCCCTCCTCCTCCTCCTCCTCCTCCTCCTCCTCCTCCTCCTCCTCCTCCCTCCCTCCTCCTCCTCCTCTCCTCCCCTCCTCCTCCTCCTCTCTCCTCCTCCTCCCCTCCTCTCCTCCTCCTCCTCCTCCTCCCTCCTCCTCCCCCTCCTCCTCCTCCCCCTCCCTTTCAACCCAGTCTTCGCGCATCGCGCCCCGCGACACGCTGCGCGCGGCCAGCTTCGCCCCCTCTGCAGGGAGGAGGGTCCTCGGGCTTCTCGCCGTCTTCGGGCTCTGGGGGCCCCCCTCCGCGGGCCCAGGGATGGTCGGGCGACGACTCCGGATGAAGATCGCGTCATGGGGGATGGCCCCCCGGGGTCCAGGGGACCCACTTCCCTCGCGGCCCGCTTCCTCCCCTGCTGACCCAGACCCCCTCGACTTGTGATAACATCACGACGGGAGGTTTTTCAATATGTTTGGCCTTTGGGGGCCCTTACCGGCCCTCGGGACCGTCACAAAACGACTGATGACGAAAAACTGGTCCCGGGGAATGGGTCCAGACCGCTGGGGGTCGACGTCATGAAAAATTCATGACGTCGGGGGTCTGGGGAACGAGGTGCGAGACCACAACGATCCCGGAGCGTTCTGCCTCAACACGGACTCCCACATGGACTTCCACGAGAGGTGGGACGAGCTCATGATCCAGGAGTGGGTCGGAATAGGCAACGAGTTCGCGGTCTGCACCGCCTACCCCATGAGGATGATGAGCAACCAGGACAAGCTCTTCGCCAAGAGCCACGTGGACTTGTGCGGTTGGAACCTGGAGAACGGCATACCGCGCGGCCAGGGTGGCGACAATTTGCGGTCGGAGCCAGGGCAGAAACCCTATCTGACCATGAACTGGGCGGCTGGTTTCTCGTTCGGCCGGTGCCACATGGACCGCAACGTGCCAGTGGACAAGCACCTGGAGTGGATCTTCACTGGCGAGGAGGTCGACCGTGCCGTGCGCCTCTGGACCTCCGGGTACGATCTGTACCTCCCCGCGTTCACCTACATCTACCACGACTACGACCACGCCAAGCAGGAGTTCTGGTCAGTCAAGCACGACCAGAGCCTCCCAGGCAGATCGAAGGCTAGGATCAAGGCCAAGCTGAACATCACTTCCCCCGCAGGCGCCAGGGCGAGGCGAGATGCAGCCTCGGATGAGGCGCCCGACTTCGGCCTCTTCGGGCTCGGCAGCCAGCGCACGCTGGAGCAGTACGTGGAGTGGGCGCGAGTCGACCTGGGCACCCCGCAGTGGAGGGACTTCCTGGCCAGGCGGGGCCTCCAGCCCGTGGTGAACAACATGCCGCACTGGTACGACTCGAGGTTCTGCAAACCGATCCCCAGACCCCTCCTGGGATGCGCTTTGCCCAGAACCTTGCGGCGGACCCAGCCGTGGCCACGAGAAGGCAGCTGGCCTTCGACCCTCGAAGCTCCAAGGATCGCGCAGGCATGCGTCCAGACATGTTCAGGAGAGGAAAAACACACAGAGACACAATGAATCCTCGATTCCCCAGAAAATATGGGAACACATGGGAAGTGGGGGGGAAGACAGAAACCCAGAACATATAAGAAAATATGGGGAATCTGTTTATTTGTGTGTATTTATTTGTGTGTCCTGGAGCCCCTTCACATGCGAAGTCCTGACTATTTCAGTGCGCGGCCCCCTGCAGCCCCGACCCCTTCCCCAGAACCGGCTCTGCGTCCTGAGCAGTGTCGTTGCCGGCCCAGGAGCTCGGTACTTGCCCCCCCAGAGCCCAGGGAGATGTGGAAGAAAGCTAAGTGGCCGAAGGCCCGTCCCGCCACCGCCGTGCCTGGGTTGTGGGGGTGAAGCCTATTGGGTCTTCGTTGGGATCTCGTGGGAGGCTTCTCGGGGGCCTCTTGGAAGCAGTTTGGTCGCCCCTTGGGGGCCGTTTGGGGGCCTCTCTGGGCCTCTTTCGAGCCTCATGGGGGTCTCTTGAAAGCCTCTTGGGGGCCTCTTGGGGCCTTCTGGGCGCCTCTTGGGGCCTTCTGCGGGCCTCTTGGGGCGGAAGGCTGGGTTTTTTCGGTTCGTGTTCCTTCTTTGGGGCCCCTATTGGGGCCGTCTTGGGGCCCTCTTGGGCCGTGGCGCCTGTTGTGCTGTGTTGGGGCCCTCTTGTGGCCCTCTTGGGGGCCTCCTGGGCCATCTAGTGGTAATCCTGGGGGCCTCTCGGGGGCCTCTCGGGCAATCTTGTGGCGATCTTGGGGCCTCTTGGACCGTCGTGGAGCGGCGGGGGCTCGGAAAGGCGAGCAGGCCAAACCCCTTCGAGAGCCTGGAGAGACTCGGTGGTTTTGTTCCCTCTCGGGGCTCTCCGTGGCGGCCCCTCGGAGGCATCGTGGGCCGACTGGGCGGCCCCTCGGGGCCGCCTGGGGGGCTCTCTTTTGGGCGTCCCGGGGCGGTCTTTGCCGACCTGGGGGCCTCTCGCGCCGCCTTGGCGGCCTCCTAGAGAGAGTCTTCTCGGCCAGGCGGAGGGCCCCCGATTGCGGGCCCGAGGAGAGGTCGCGCGCGAGAGAGGACGCCGGGGGAGCCCACGGCAGGCCGCGCCCCACGAGGCCCGGGAGAGCTGGCCCGCTGGGGCTCCTCGGGCCCGAAATTTGGCTTCTCGGGGCCGAGGACCGAGGTTCTATAGGGGTGGAGGGCAGAGGGCCCGAGAGGGAGCCCGCCCACTCCTCCCCTCCTCCCCCCCCCCCTCGCTCGCCGCCGAGGCTCGCGTCGTACCAGAATTCAGTCAGGGCGGAGGTTTTTTTCGCCGCTGTCAGCCTCTGGGGGCCCTGGTCGGGCCCTGGGGCTGTCATGGAGCCTGCTTTTTTGGGGGGATTCGGGCAAGTTTACTTGCATGGCGTTCGGCCCCCCCCCCCCCCCCCTCGCCCCACTTCAAGCGACTACTAGCGTGCAAGTGCCTTTCGACTTGCGTGATTTCCGCGCCCCCCCGAACGTGCAAGTCGTTTGCGGCTTGCTTCAGGCTCAGCCCCCTCCCCGTCCATGCAAGTAAATTTGCCAGAGCCTAAAAAAAACCAGGCTCCAAACGGGGTGGTGACAACACCGTGCGGTGAGTCGGTGGGGATTCGGGGTCACCGCACGGTTTTGGGGCTCGAGTCCCTCGCCGAAGACGTCTATGGGCGACTGGGGCATCCGAGGTCCCAACACCGTGCGGTGACGGGCCGTGCGGTGAGGTCTCTTGGGGTTCCGAGGTCACCGCACGGTGTGTCACCGCACCGTTTCGGGGCTCCAAAGCTCCGTGCCCAGAGGCACGGTGGCGGACCTCCGTCCCGAATTGAGCATGGTCTGGCCGGGCTGAAGTCGCCGAGTCCGTCACGTCGCCGAGTCCGTCACGTCGCCGAGTGCGTCATCGTGCTGCCGTGTCCGCTTCCCCCCTCCCCTCCTTCCCGCCAAAAAGCCCAGACCCCCGCCATGTTTTTTTCATGACGTGGACTCCCAGCGGTCTGGACCCGTTCCCCGGGACCGGCTTGTCGTCCTGAGTCGTTTTTTGACGGTCCCGTGGGGCGGTGAGGGCCCCCAGCTGCCGAAAATAGCGAAAAAGCCCCGTGGTGTTTTCTTCACACCTCGAGGGGGTCTGGGAAGTCTGGGCCTGGGCTTCGATTCTCGAATCTCGAGAGCTCGTGCAGGTACTGCCAGACCCTCGCGCGCGTGCCGGTAAGGAGCTCGAGGGCCTTGCGCGAGGCGGTGCAGCAGGGCGGCCTGCCCGCGGCCGAGTGGCGCTTCAGGCCGGCTCGGGCCAGCAACTCCTGGGAGGTTCTGGCGAGAACGATTTTCGGAGGCCTAGAGGTTGACACCAACACCAAGATCGGCGGTGTGGCTTCACCGAGGGAAGATGCTCCCGATCTCGGCGATGGTGGTAATATTCGGGCTCTCTAAGTGGCCAAACTATTACGACCAACAGCAACATCTAGGATCATATTACCCCTGTGGAGGCAAACTCATGCGTTGATGTGGGAGCCCTTCAGGCCGGCTCGGGGCGGCAACTCCTGGGAGGTCCTCGCGAGAACGATGTCGCGCTCGACTTACGTCGAGCGTGTCCCCCTACAGGAAGAATATTCAAGAATTGCGTAAAAATAGCCAGGGGACGATTTTGTGAAGTGAATATGTTTGAGCATTCTGTTTGGACTGTTTTTTATCGGTCGTCCAAGATCCGCCTGTAGGAGGACACGCCCGACCTAACTCTAGGCATGCTTGCGTCGTACAAACATCGGCGGCGGCGATGGATGGGGGGGGGGGAAGTGAGAAGGAGAAGGCCTTCTCCTCAGGGGGTTCGCAGTATTCCCCTGGCCTCCAGAGGAGTTCCCGAATCCCTCCCCGAAGACACAGGAAACTCCTCGGCAGGCGGCAGGGCTTCTGAGAGGTCCCGCCGCCTTCTGGGAGGGGCCTTCTCCTCCCCTCCTCCCCCCCCCTCGCTCGCCGCCGAGGCCCGCGTCGTACCAGAATTCAGTCGGGGCGGAGGTTTTTGTTCGCCGCTGTCAGCCTCTGGGGGCCCTGGTCGGGCCCTGGGGCTGTCATGGAGCCTGCTTTTTTGGGGGGGATTCGGGCAAGCTTGCTTGCATGGCGTTCGCCCCCCCCCCCCCCCCCCCCCCTCGCCCCACTTCAAGCGACTACTAGCGTGCAAGTGCCTTTCGACTTGCGTGATTTCCGCGCCCCCCCGAACGTGCAGGTCGTTTGCGGCTTGCTTCAGGCTCAGCCCCCCCCCGTCCATGCAAGTAAACTTGCCAGAGTCTTAACAAAACAAGCTCATGAAGAGTTGGTGCCGGGGAAGGGGTCGGGACTTCCAGGGTCCAGTATTTCAAAAAAAGGATACCGCATTCTGAGGTCCTGCCGTCTCATTGTGATTCGAGGCCGGCGCTTTCGCCCAGTTGCGGGCCCCGGGACCCTCATGGATCGATCCGGCTCGAAAAGTTGGGTCTGGGGGTCCAGTCGTGATTTTTTGCGATGTTGATTTGTTTTCGTTGCGTCGGATCTCAGGGGAGGGCTATTTGGTCTGATCAGTAGGCCATTCAGCTGGATCTTGCTGGACTAAGCCAGGAAGTAAGCCGGATCAGCTGGGCGTCAGCCAGATTATAATCGGGAGTCAGTTGGATGCAGCGAGGTCATGCGCTGGATGTGGCCTTGGTTTGACCATGGATATACCTTCGCGGATGCTTCGCGTATCCCCACTATCTTCTTGCGCGGTCCGCTCGGACCTTATTCGCCGCTGGCGCCTTCGCCTGCGGCTGCGACAAAAAAAGTATCCCCACCATCGGTTTGGGAGTATCGGTTATGGCTCTCCTTCTGAGTGGCTGCCCGCTCGCTCGCTTCGCTTGCCTTTCCTTTCCTGCTGCCTAGTCGCGGCCCGACTAGTGTTCGGACGGCTTTCGACCCGCCTCGCGAGCCTGTTGACCAAACGTATCCCCACCATCCCATCCAGAAGCGATGCCCATGAGAGTTGATGGGGGGAGAGAGGAAGAGACACGCACAGTAAAACAGCGAGGGAGGCTTGGCAGGCTCTGTGGCCATCTCGAGCCGACCTTGGAGCCGTCTTGGGGGCGCTTGGAGCATCTTGGGGGCCATCTTGAGCCAGTTTGGGCTATCGTGAGCCATCTTGGAGGTCATCTTGGGCTCTCTGTGGCCGCTCGGGGGGAGGGGTTGTGGAAGAGGAAAGAGGCCCTCGTTAGACCACCTGTCGCCCAGAGGGCTGGTGAAATTTGATATTCTAGGAGTTCCCTCCGAAAGGCCAGCGTTCGACAGCTCGGACCCAGACGCGCTGCCAGTGATGGCACTCGACGAGCAGAGCGGCTTATAGAGCGCTGCGGGAGTTGTGCTCGGAGGAGTGCCGATTGAGACAACGGTCCCTGAGATCCTGGCTTCGAATTTGTTTCACCACGCCGTAGACGCGCAAACGGCAATATAGGTAACGGCGATGTAGGTTTCGGCATTGTAGGTGGGACTGGTTCGTGGCCAAACCAATTGTAGGACATGGTGGTTCGTGCTTTCCTATAAGTCGCTGCGCCGTTTTCACTCGATACATTCGCACATCTGAAATGTAGGAACGACGTGTGGTTCGTGATGTCCTACATACACTTTGTTCTGCGCGAGCTCGGTGTCACAAAAAGATTCCCAACGTCGCCGTTCACCAACATCGCCGTTAGCGCGGCCTTGGCCACGGAGACTTTGCATCGCTTCGGTTCCCAGACCCGTGACGTCATGATCTTTTTATGACGTGGACCCCCGGCGGTCTGGACCCACTCCCCAGGACCGGCTTTTCCTCCCGAGTCGATTCTTGACGGTCCCGAGAAGGCCGAAAATATGGGGAAACCTCCCGTCGTGGTTTTTGCCGTACCTCGAGGGGCTCTGGGCAGGAAGTGTACAGGGCTCCGGGCGCGCGCTGGCGCGATGGTGTAGCTTCCTCGCAGCGTCAGACCTCACGGCCGCGGGCTCCCGCCCGGCCCAGGGGCCCACGCAGAGCCGGCCCCAGCTGTGCCCCGTCCTGACCGGTGCCCCGAGGCGGAGCTGGCCGTGTGGCGACGAGGAGCTTTAAAACAGGGCTAGGATCGGGATAAATCGCTCCAGAGCGTTCCGGAGCGCTCTCAGAGCGTTCCGGAACGCTCTGGAGCGGCCGCGGCGCCCAATACATCCTCCAAACCCGCCGATTCTCAGAGATTTCGGTTGTCCCGATCCGATTTTGTCCCGATCTTCGTGTCGTTTTACCCAGGTTCGACCCAGAGCCGGCCCCGGCTGTGCCCCGTCCTGACCGGTGCCCCGAGGCGGAGCTGGCCGTGTGGCGGCGAGGAGCTGCCGAGAGGCTCGGAGAGGGCGCAGCGTGCAGGGGGTCGGCGTCACCCCAGCATGCTACTACCATCGGGGGCGGCCAAGGAGGGGTGTAAAACGACGCGAAGATCGGGGCAAAATCGGATCGGGATACCTCGAAATCTCTGAGAATCGGTGGGTTTGGAGGATGTATTGGGCGCCGCGGCCGCTCCAGAGCGTTCCGGAACGCTCTGAGAACGCTCCGGAACGCTCTGGAGCGATTTATCCCGATCTTAGCTCTGTTTTAGGGTGTGATAGCTAGGGGGGGGGGGGACATCACGGCGGGGGCCAGGATGTCTCCCCAGATTTCATGGCGGCTCTTCTTATCTCATTGCGTCCTTAGCCCCCGCCCCTGGGTCGCGCGCGTGCCGCCGGCCATGATTTGCGCCCCCCCCACCCCCCTCTTGGACGCCCCCCCCCCCCCCATTAGCCGCCCCCATGATACTGTGCGTGCGTCGCCCCCCCCAGGGGCGGCGCGCGCACCGAGAAGTCCTCCAGCATGCTTGTGCGCCGTCCGTGGCGAGGCGCTTTCTGGCCACACCGCTCGGGAAACGCTACACCAATGGAGGATGGCGATTAATAAATGACCGGGGGTCGTGTTCACGCGGCGGCACCCGGGATGACGATTAGAAAAAACCGGCCGCGGGCTGGAAAACTATCTCTTTTCAATCGTTCTCCTCCAGTCAGAAAACGGTGTAGAAATAACACAGAAGATTATTTTTTGTTAATCGCTCCCCCCCATGTTGTTTATTCATCGTCATCCCGCACCACAAGATGGGGTATGGTTGCGGTGCGTTCGGGTCGGGCGCGCGCCTCCGGGGAGGAAAAGGGCGCGCCGCACGGGCGCGGAGGGCAGCGCCCCGGGCGGGCGCAGAGGCCACCGGGGGCGTCCAAGAAGGGGGGGGGAGAGGGGGAGGGGACCCTCTCGAGCCAGGTGTGTGCGCGTCATATCTGACGTCCCACCCCTCCCTCCCATCTCTTACCATGGCGCTGATGTTCTCTATCCGCGGACGCGTGTCGCACGGGCGCGGAGGGCAGCGCACGGGCAGGCGCAGAGGCCATCGGGGGCGTCCAAGAAGGGGGGGGAGAGGGGGAGGGTATCCTCTACAGGAGGAGTCAAGAGCAGTCCAAGAAATGGTCTGGGGACGGTCTTTGTGTGGATCGTTTTGTTTCTTTTTGTGCTAGTCTCGGAGGTTCGCTTTCCTTCCCAAATCCGCATGTTTGGGGGCATGCCCGACCGAATCCTAGTAGCAAGCCGTCTAGCTCACTCCCATCCGCGCTCCCAACACGTAAGTAACACCCGAGCCGCAGCATGTTCAGCGGTCGTCCTCGGATGGGCAGCTACTGGGAAACAAGACCGAGCCCATGTACGCGACGCTGGGGCGAGGTGCGCCACGCGTGCTAGGCGCGCCACGCGCGCCAGGCAGGGGGGGGGGGGACTACGGGTGTGTGGATACGGTAGGGGGAAACAATTAGTGGACAATCCCCCGCTTCCCAAATCTCAAAGTTGGCACGCGCAGGGGGGAGACTGCGGTCGAAGTGCAACTCATCTGACCCGCCGCCAACTTTGAACATTGGGGGGGGAGGAGGCGTGGACCGATGAATGTGGCATGCCTGTTCGCTATTTTTTCCGAGGCCTTTCTCTCATGGCCAGAGTCGTGGAGGACGATCAGTGGAGAGGAAGCATGTTGCCAAATAATTTCCAGATGTCTAAATCATGTGTTAAACTGTTTTTAAGCATGAAAACAACATGTTAAAAACATGTTCATAATATTTGTCCTACATTTGAAACACAGTTTAATTCACGGATAAGACTGTCAGGGTGTCCATCGTCGTGGCGTCCACAAGGCCAGAGCCTCGATTCCTCCCAGATTATGTTGCCTTGTCGTCTTCGCTCCGCATGCCCCCCTGCCCCCCCCCTCCCCCTCGCCCGCCAGCGTGCCTCGGGCCACGGGCTGCGAGCCTCAGGAGGGGAAAAAACACAGACACAATTAGTCGTCGATCCCCCAGAAAATATTGGAAAACGTAGGAAGTGGGGGGGAGGACAGAAACTTTGAAACTATGGGAAAATATGGGGAATCATGTTGTTTGTGTGAATTTATTTGTGTGTCCCAGGGTCCCTTCAGAGCCCCCCTCCTGGACGCCCCCCCTCGTCTTTGGCTTCGGCGCTCTGGTCTACAGTGGGGGCCCATGCCAAGAAACACCCTGCTTGCCTCCAGGGAGCCCTCGGTCTCTTGGGCTTCGATGGTTCTGCCATTATGGAGAGCGCGGCGTCCGCACCAGAGATCGATGGGCGTCCCAGGGTCTCAGGGTTGGGTTTCCTGTGGGAGGTTTCTTGTGGACGGGCCTCCACTGTGCCGACCACGCGGCACCAGAGGCCCCGACCCCTTCCCAGGGGAAAGTTCTTCGCCCCCCGGATCATTGTTGCATGGTCCTGCGGCCCGATGAGGGGCCCCAGAGGCCGAGATCTCAGGAGAACAGGAAAAGGACGTGGCAAATCACATCGTCGAAGACCTGGGATGGACGCCCCCCGAAGGCTCGGGCGTAAGCAGTACTGGTGCTCTTTCGCCGGGCTGGCTTTGGACCTGGGGTGCGGGGCGCACAGAGGTTCCGCCAGCACTGGCTGGCGCGCCTGGATTTTGCCTCCCAGTGGCCCCCTTACGTCCGTGCGCCACAGTCCACCCTGGCCTAGGGCCACTCTTGCATGCAGCCGAAAGACGCGTCCCAGCCGCCGCCCTTGCCGGTGCGCGGCAGCGGCATCGGCAGCGGCGGAAGTCGGCCGCCCCTGAGATCCGACGCTGCGAAGGATCAGGACCAGAGCCCCGTACACCACACTTCTCTGCCGCAGTGTTCAAGCAGCATCGATTTACGAGGATCCCAGTGCCTGAAGCCCGACAAAAACTCGGTCCGACCGTAAGGGGGGCGTGACCTAAGGGGGGGAGAATAAGAGGGCCGGAAAGGGGCCCTCTACGGCTCCTTTTGGAGCTAGCAGTGGCCCTGAAGAGTCCCTGTAGGGCCCTGTTCTTCACGCCCCATAAATGCCACCCCCCATTACCACCCGCCTGAAAGACGCCCGTGGTGCAAAAATTGTAGGGCCCTGTTCTTAACCTCCCATGGAGGTCACCCCCATTACCACCCGCCTGAAAAGCGCCCGTGGTGCAAAAATCGCAACGCCAGGCTCCGATGGACGGCGGCAGCCGGCCGTCGATTAGCGGGCGAAGAACTGCATAGAAAAACAGGTTCCCGCCACCGGGGGCGCTTGCCCCAGGGCGTCCGGAAAGTTTATACCCTGACGTGCCACCGCAGGGGTATAAAGTGTCCAGCCGCCCTTGGACCGGCGTCCCTGACGGCGAAGAAGCTTATCTTACGCCGCTCTTCGCCCGCATCTTACGCCGCTCTTCGCCCGCTACGTCCAGACCCCCGACGTTGTGATTTTTTCATGACGTCGATCCCCAGTGGTCTCGACCCATTCCCCGGGACCGGCTTTCCCTCCCACATCGTATTGTGAAGGCCCCGAGGCCTGGAGAGGTCCTGCAGAGGCCGCACTTAGCGAAAAACCTCCCGCCCCCAGACATGATCGCGTCGTCAAAACATTCGGACGCTACGCTTTTCGCTAGTTTCGGCCCCTGGGGTCCCTCGCCGGGCCCCAGGACTGTCAAACAGCGACTGGGAATGAGAAACCGGTCCTCGAGAAAGAAGGGCCCCAGGGACGCCGCATGAAAAAAAATCAGTCGGTGGTGGACAGAACCCCCACTTTGACACGTCGATTTGTGAACTGTTTGTTTTCGATGCTCGAGAGGGCGCCGCGGCCGTCATTCTCCAGGCTTGCGCCCGCCAAGTTTGGACCCGAGGTCGTTTTCACTAAGCCGCGTCTTGCTGAAGGGGGTTCTGTCCATCCCTCCATTCCCGAATCATCGGCGTCACCCCAACATACTTGTACTATATGTGCGCCGCCCCCCCAGGGGCGACGCGCGCACCGAGAAATCTTATAGTATATGCGTCGTGGCGGGCGTTTTCTGGCCGCACCGCTCGCGAACCGATATACTGAAGGATGGGCATACTAACCGATGTACTACAGGATGGGTCTACCATATGTTCGGGCCGGACGCGCGCCTCCATTGAGGACATCTAGTATTAGTATGTCTCTGTGCGTCCCAACGCACAGATCCGATGTCGTGATTTTTTTCCATACGGGGTCTCCGGAAGTCTCGACCCATTCCCCAGGACCGGTTATTCATCCTGAGTCGCTTCTTGACGGTCCCGGGGCCCGGCGAGGGTCGCTGGAGGCCGAACATCGAGAAAAACCTCTCCGTCTTGAATTGGGGGAGCGTAAGACCCGGGTTTGCCAGGACTCGGGTTCGCCATCGTTTTTTGACGACCGCGCCTCGGATTTTGACGAGGAGGAGTTTCGTGGGATGTCTGCAGCGGGAGGCCTCGTCAAAATGCAGGCTCGGCCTCGTCATTTTTTCGACGACCTCGTCGGGGATTTCCGAGCCCCCTGTACCCAGGCCTTACGTCCCCCTGATTGATTTTTGTCAAGACCTGGGAGGTCTGGGAATCAGGACGTCGCATGTCTCCTTCGTGCTTCCTGCGTGGCACGAGCCCGCGCAGCCGCCCGGCCCGCCGCGCGGGGCCCGGAGGCGGGCGGCGGGCGCCCCTCGCGCGGCCGGCCCCCCCCGGGGGGGCGCGGGGGTCGGGAGCGGCCCCGCGCGCAGGCCGCCGGGCTCTGCTCCTCACCACAAGGCGTTCTCCTCCTCCTCCTCCTCCTCCTCCTCCTCCTCCTCCTCCTCTGGGTACGCTGGGCTCCTCCTCCTCCTCCTGCTCCTCCTCCTCCTCATTATTATCATCGTCATCATCATCCCCATCTCCCCATCCTCCTCCTCCTCCTCCTCCTCCTCCTCCTCCTCCTCCTCCTCCCTCCCCATCTCTCCCTCATCCGCCTCCTCCTCCTCCTCTCCTCCTCCTCCTCCTTCTCGTCCTCCTCCTCCTCCTCCTCCTTCTCGTCCTCCTCCTCCTCCTCCTCCTCCCTCCCTCCTCCTCCTCCCTCCCCATCTCCTTGTCCCCCTCCTTCTCCCTCCCCATCCCCCCTTCCTCCTCCTCCTCCCCCTCCTCCTCATTATCCTTCTCCTTGCCCTCCTCGTAGGCATCCTCGCCGTCCTGTTCCTTTCGCGTCTCCTCGGCTTCAGCGCAGGTTGACTCCGCAGCGCCTTGGTGTAGAGTCGGATCGAGGTATAAGATCGAGGTCGGTTCGGGGGTGCCCTAGTGTTCTTCGTTCTTGTTGGGTGTTCTTGTGCATCCTGGGGGAGAATACCCTGGGATTTTCCGTCTGTTCTGGCCGACGGATGGTCTCATGTTATTGAGGGATGTTTTTCTGGCTTAGGTCCGACTGTACGGAAACAATGGGTACAAAGTTCAACAGCAGTTCTCGTTCATTCCGAACCGGGTGCGTTGTTGGCGAGGACGCGGTCGTTGTCCATTTGAGACAGGAGGCCGCTTGCCCATCAGCGACAGCTCTCGGTTTTGGACAACATCTGTTGTTGGGCATCGGGCCCTTTTTTCCGTACCCGTTTCGGTCGTCCAAGTCTCCGTGAGCCACCTCCCCAGAGACCCGAGGGTCTGATGTTTTCAATCTGGCATTCCTTCGCGGATTTCGGCCTCAGGGACCCCTTCTCGGGGCCTCGAGGCCGTCTCTGGGGGACCATCACCAGCGGATCCAGGGCGAAAAACCACGCCCGGGGGCAGGGGTCGGGACCTCTGCAGAGGGCCGCGGATGCCTGGGTCTTCGCCACGGGGGAAGCGAGTCCCGAGGGGCACGGGTCCCGAGGTGTTTCTCGTCATGTTCGGGCTCTCCTGCCCCCCCGGCCAGGGTTCGGAGGTTTCTCGTTATCTTCGGGTTCTGAGGTTTTCGTTCTTTTGCAGGTTCTGAGGTTTGTTTGGGTATTTTCTCGAGAGCCATCTGGCCGTCCTGCTCCCCCGCTCCTCGGACCCGTCTCGAGGTGTAACAGTCCTTGCCTCTCCTGGCTCGGCTGGCCGTCGGAGCTCTGGTGGCCACGGGTGCCTCGGGATGCTGTCGAGGTTGCCTGCCCTGGGTGTGGGTCGGTGCGTCGCCAGTGCTCGTGACCAAAAAATGGCAGAGTTTGTGTGCCAGCGCATTTTCTTTTGCGGCGTTGGGCGCCCTGGCGCGGACGGCCGAACGACCCCTGCAGCGGGACACCCTGCCCACACGGTCGGCGCCGCAAAAACTGCGCGTTCAACGCGGGCGCCGCGCAAAGGGCGCACCGAAAGGCGCCGCGCACGGTCGCGCAGGGTCGTCGTGGTCATGTTGGTGGTCATGGTTGTCGTGGCCGTCGTGCTGCTGGCGTCGGGGCTGAAGCTGGTGTTCGTGACGTTCGCACTTGCAATCGGCAGTGGCGAGCTGCTGGTACCTGTTGCGTGTGGGTAGTAGTTGGGGCGTCTGTGCTGGGGTTGGGCGTTGTCGCTTCCGTCGTTCTCGCATGCCCGTGTGACAGGAGGTCTGTGTTGAACGAGATCGGCGTCTTCGCCTTCACTGGCGGTGGTGTGCAGTGGTTGCTGTCTTCTTGTCAGTTGTGTTGTCCGTGTTGCAGGTCTGCAGGCGTTGAACTGTGTGCCTTCGTCTCCGTCCTTCTCGCTGTGATCGTCCATGATGGTGTCCTCGATGCCGTAGAAGTAGCTGCTGCTTACCTCGTGGACGGATTTTCTCGGCACGTGGTTATCCTTCTGGTAGGAAGAAGTACTCCGCTGTCCGGTACTTGCCCTCGGCGTTGAGTCTCCGAATTCCAGAATTTCGGTGCCTGTGAGCCAAGATGGCCACTCGCATTTTCTCGACGTCGCTACAGTGCCATTTTTTATACTGCTCGGGGGGGCGTCACGTTTTTGGCTTGCCCGCTGTTGTATTGGTGTGCTCCTTTCCTCCGCTCCTCCTCCTCCTCCTCCTCCCCATCATCATCAGAAGGCCAGGGGACTCCCGAGCCTTCAAGGAAGGCCTGCCCCTTCTCACTTCCCCCCCTCGCTCGCCGCCGACAGTAACCAGTCCCAATCTGGTCTCCCTGCACAGGAGACCCCCCTCGCTTCAGTGCGGGCGCCAAAAATATTCACACCACCACCACCTCCATTCTTCCTCCTTCTTCCTCTCCTTTTTAGTTGGAGAGGGAGGGCGCGAGGCAGGCGGTTTTGGGGTATATTTTCTACCCCCGCGCTTCCCGCGCTTCAGGGCCCCCTCGGCGGCCGCGACCCACCCGCGACCCATTTGCAACCTAATCCGCGACCCACCCGCGACCTACCCACACTGGCTCAACGAAAAAATCGGTGCCTGCGGTGGGCTTTTCCGGAGTTTTGCAGATTGCCGACGTCCCCGCCGCCCCCTCATTCTTATCCGCAGCTGCGGGTATAATTTGTTGTTATACCCCCGCGCTTCAGGGCCCCCTCGGCGCGGGCGTTGCTAAACCATGGCGTCGGCGCGCCCCCGGGAGCTCCGCAACCGTGGGCTGGATGCGTTTTCCCCCTAAGTCTTCGTCGCCCTCTCTCACCGGGGTGGAGCGCTCGAGGTCCTCGTTGGCAGTGTCCTGGTGTAGGGGGCTCTCCCCCCCTCCTCCTCCTCCTCCTCCTCCTCCTTCTCCTCCTCCTCCTCCTCCTCCTCCTCCTCCTCCTCCTCCTCCTCCTCCTCCTCCTCCTATCCTCCTCCTCCTCCTCCTCCTCCTCCTCCTCCTCCTCCTCCTCCTCCTCCTCCTCCTCCTCCTCCTCCTCCTCCTCCTCCTCCTCCTCCTCCTCCTCCTCCTCCTCCTCCTCCTCCTTCCCGCGGAGAAGGTTCCCCGGGAGGCCGCGGCCGCCTCCCCCCTCCCCCGGGGCAGCAGGTGGACCTCCTCCCGGCACGACCCGTGCGCAGCACGTTCGGAAATGGGCGGGGGGACGCCATGCGAAGCTGCGCATAGGTGCCGTCGGTGAGGCTCCTTCTGTGTCGTGACTCGCGTGACTCAAGCAGTGGCGACGCGTCCTGGCTCGCCTATAGTCCTACCAAACAATGTTCTAAGAACATTTGTGGCTTCCACGAAATGTTCTTGTAACATGTCTGGTCGATACTGCTTTGTTTTAGCACATCGGATTCATGTTCTAAGAACATTGTTTTCGTTGTTAGATCATTTTTGGGTTCTGAGAACATTTCGTGGTAGGACTATAGGAATGCCGGGACGGTCGGTCCCTGCTCAAGCATAGGTGCCATCGGTGAGGCTCCTTCTGTATCATGACTCGCGTGACGGGTTTGTGGATCTGGGCGGGGGGACGATGTACGAGCCCTGTCTTGGGGCCTGTTGGGTGGTGCTCTTTGTGTGCACCTCATCGAGGAGAAGGACTTCCACTCTCGCAGGCAGGAGGTGCCCGCTTGGCCCACGGGAGGCCGCGGCGCGGCCCCTCCTCCTCCTCGTCCTCCTCCTCCTCCTCCTCCTCCTCCTCCTCCTCCTCCTCCTACTGCTCCGCCTCCCTCCTCCTCCTCCCCCTCCTCCTCCCCCTCCCCCCCCCTCCCCCTCCTCCTCCTCCTCCTCCTCCTCCTCCTCCTCCTCCTCCTCCTCCTCCTCCTCCTCCTCCTCCCCGAGGAGAAGGACTTCCAGTCCCGCAGGCAAGAGGTGCCCGAGGACCTGGACCAGGTCTTCGAGGCCGCGTGCGCGGGCCGTGGGAACAGTTGTTTACCCGATGTGGTCCCGAGACTTACTGGTGATACAGCGGTGATACAGAACCACACACCGCAACGGCAGGGTGTGCACGTCACGGGTTGCCTCTGGGAGGCGGCGCCCGTGTCCAGGGCCAGAGGAATTGAAGTCAAAGTTGCAATCCAATCACAGGACTGTGCCTGGGAGGCTCCGCCCGGGAGGCTGCGCTGGAAGACAAGGAAAAGGAGCGGTCTCAAAGGGTCCCGGGGCCCGAAGTCGGGTGAAACATCGCCCGCTGCTACAAGAAGAGGCAACTGCCAGGATCTCAGGGCAGGGGGGGATGCATCGACCCCACTTCGCAGTTCGGTGTTTTTCTGGCGTTGTCGCAGGGTTTCGTCGGTGCTCGGCGGCCTTCCAGCCGCGGGGGTGCCTTCCAGCAGCTGCGCGTCGCCGAGTGTGCGTTCTGAGGGAGCCCGGAGCGTCCCGAACGGCCGCCGGAGAGCCGAGTTATTACTTGAAAACCAAGCTACTCCAGATTTCGTAATAAAAGGAAGGGGGTCTGGACCCTCCAAGACAAGCCATTTCAGACCTCCCCCGTGGGAGAACCCTCCAAAACATCGTCCCCAGACCCCCCAGGCCCTCCAAGATAGCCTGGACGAGACCCCCCCCGAAATGAGACCCCCCTCCCTTTATTACGAAAGCTGGAGTACCTGAAAACCAAGCTACAGTCAACCCGCGTAGGAAGGATGGGCGATTTTCCTGAGGGTGCCCTTGCATCCAGTGCCCTCACACACCCAATGCCAGTTGCGATACTGGAGGCTGCAATTCACATCCCTGGAGCGTATACTTCTTCCGGGTCTGGGTCATTCAGTCCCCCCCCATCCTTCCCCAAAGAGTACTTGCACATAGGCTCAGTATCGTTTCACTGACCCCCATCCCCATCCCCATCCCTTTCGAGACCCCCACCAAATTACCACCCCAGACGGGGATACACCCCTCGAAACCCGAAGGGGGCGGCCTACATCCCCATCCAGGGGGGTAAATTGGCCAGTGGAGCCCAGGCCACGCCGCTGGGGATGGAGATCGGATAAACGATACTCATCGAGAAAAGAGGAGTACGCACATGCACCGATTCTGGCCAGGCCTATCCTGAGCCCAGGATCTGTGCACACGACCTCCTGCCTTGGCCAGGAACGCCTACGCACCGATCCTGGGCCCAGGAGAGGCCCGGCCAGGATCGGTGCCTGTGCAGACTGCCTCTTCGCCCTCCTCCTCCTCCTGGAGTTTGCGCCACGTAGCCTGCACCACGCAGCTGGCACCACATAGCTTGCACCACATAGGGGAGGAGGAGGAGGAGGAGGAGGAGGAGGAGGAGGAGGAGGAGGAGGAGGAGGCGGAGGCGGAGGCGGAGGAGGAGGAGGAGGAGGAGGAGGAGGAGAGGAGGAGGAGGGAAGGAGGACGGAGAGGAGGAGGAGGAGGAGGAGGAGGAGGAGGAGGACGAGGAGGAGGACGAGGAGGAGGAGGAGGAGGAGGCAGTCTCTCTTCTGTCTCGAGGAGCTGGCAGCGCACGCCGGGGCCTCGGCTGGTGCCTGGCCGGCGGGCGCCCGCGGGCGCCCCGTGGGCGCCCCGCGCACGGGGGGGGCAAATGCCGAGGTGCGTCGTCGTCGTCGTCGTCGCCGTCGTCGTCGTCGTCGTCGTCGTCGTCGTCCTCGTCGTCGTCGTCGTCGTCGTCGTCGTCGTCGCCGTCGTGGTCGTGGTCGTTGGCGCGGTCGTCGTCGCGCCTCGTGGGAGCCCCCCCGGGGGATGCGCCAGGCAGAGGCTTCGCCCAGTGCCGGCCCGGGCACGCCTCGTGGGCGCCCTTGGCGTCATGTTCTTGGTATCGCTCGGACGTGTGCTTGGTTTTGTCGCAGGATGATCCAGGATGCTCCTAAAACAATCCCCGCCGAGACGTCCGAGCGATGGCCAGTGTTTCCAAGCCTCCTGGATGGGGTCGGAGTAGATGGGGTCGGAGGATCGCGCCGCCTCGCCGATGCATCGCCGATGCGGCTCGGTGCGGAGCCCGATCTGCTTCACGTCGACGTCGCCGATGCGTCGCCGACGTCGCCGATGCATCGGCGATGCATCGGCGATTGCATTGGCGATGCGGCGCGATCCTCCGACCCCATCTGCTCGGACCCCCTCTGGGAGGCCTCTGTCGTTCGATGCCTGCGGAGGGCTCGCCGGGTGCCCGCCCGTGGGCGCCTCCCGGGCGCTCCGAGCTGGGGCGCACGCCGAGCACGCCCCCTCCATGGAGCCCGCCCGTGGGCGACGCGTGGGCGCCCCGAGCCGGGGGGGGGGGGGGGGATACCGAGGATTCGCAGGGTGCCCGCCTCGTGGGCGTCCGCCGTCCAGCCTTTCACCCTTAAGAGCTCTTGCACCTCCGGCTTCGTCCTTCTCTCTCGGGTCGGGCGAAAGGGGGGGTTTGGGAAAGGGGGGGTACGAAATCTGCTGCATGCAGCTGGTTTCGGCCCGACCGAGGGGCCCATTCCTCGATACATGGGCGCCTCCCGGCGCCGGGAGGCGCCGGGAAAATCAGCTACGTGAGCTGATTTCTCCCCCCCCCCCTGTTGCTATCCCCCCCTTTCCCCCGACCCGATTCTCGCCTTGTCGCTCCTTGTCCCCCCTCCATCCCTGCTTCTCCGCTGCCGTTCAGGGCCCGTGAGCCAGGGCGTCCAGGAGCAGAGCGATCCACGATGCGCTCCGAGCCGGTTCTCGATCGGCAGTGGGCGCCCCGTTGGCGCTTTGTGCCTTGGGTGGGTGGCGTGGCCTGCACCGCACAACTTGCGCAGCAGTGCCCACGACGCATCACTTTCACAGCATGGCTTGCACCACACAGGTCGCATCGCACGGCTTGCACCACAAAGTCCACACCACAGAGCTTGCACAACATAGCATACACCACATAGCTCAGACCGCATAGCTGACACAACAGAGCTAACCCACAGACCTGACTTCGCGCAGTTGCCGCTGCCAGCGTGCAGTACTTCAGTGTTTGGGGTCGGCGTTGGCCAACATTCGGGTATTCATTCCACTGCGGCATATCAGCCGCGTGTCCCTTCCGGAACGCGGCCACCATGCATTCTCGCATTGTTTCCGTGATACGTACGCGCGTTGCAAGTTTGTGGTTGCTTGCGTCTGTTTTGCACGTACGTGTGCATGTGCCACGTTTTCGTTATTTCTCTCTTTCTCTATCTATCTCTTTCTTAGTATATGCATATGCACAAAGATGTACCTATGTGTGTGTGTGTGTGTGTCGCCCATCGCGAGTTAGTTACCTCTCCATCGCCCGCTCTGCATTCCACCCTCTGCCCTGGCCAAGGCCATCGACATTAATCGCGACGGCTATGTCAGTTACCTGACGTTCTTGTCGGCCACCCTGCCGCCAGCTATGCGAAAGTGCGAGAGCTTGTGCAAGGCCTTGCTCGCGACCGCATCCTCTTGGAACCAGGGCAGATAGCAGAGATACCTGTGAAAGACGGAGGGGTGGGCAACTGATTGTGATTATCGAAGGCGCCTACGTCGAATCACCGCCGCCCCCTGATGTGGTCAACCGTGTGGGCAAAGTTTGGCCACGCGATTGGACCATGCTCTCCCCCAGCCGCCGTGGAAGCGCTTCGGGTAACCATGGGGGGGATCAGGAGGATGCGGAGACCTCTTGGGAGCTTCTTGGGTCATTCTTGGGGCCTCCTGGGAGCTCCCCCCGTTCCCTCTTGGGGGCCTCCTGGGGGCCTGCAGGGCCTTCTTGGGGGCCTCTTTGGCGGTCTTACGGCGTTCTTGGCCCGTTTGGCGCCGTCGGAAGTTGTCTTTGGAGCCTCTCTCGGAAGTCTTGGGCCCGTCTTGGGGCGCCGCAGGGCTTTTCTGAAGGCCATCATGGGCGTCTTGGAATCCTCTTGGGCCGTCCTGGGGCCTTTCGGGGACCGTCTAAGGAGCCTCTCGTGCCGTTTTCTCGGGGCCATGTTGGAGCACTCGTGGGCGATCTTCGGGCACTTTCGGGGGCATCTTGGGCCGTCGGAAGGCAGTTTTGAAGGCCGTTTTGAATCAACCGCCAACATCAGCAACACCCTAAGCACCACTGCGTTCGGCCTCTTCGGGCCTTCCTGGAAGACCTTGGAGGCCCCTTTGGCAGTCTTGAAGGCCTCTTGGGAGCCCTTTGGGCCATCTTGAGGCCACCTTAGGCCGTCTTGTTGGCTTGGACCGTCTTGAGGGCTTTTGGGGCCATCTTGGCCGTCAGAGAGGCCATCATGGCCGTCTTGAAGGTCACCCTGGGGTGAAACTGAATGAGGTGCGGAGTCTTCCTGAAGATTCAAGCCCTCGGGGGCCCTGATGATGCTGATGATGATGCTGATGATGACGATGATGATGCTGATGCTGATGCTGATGCTTTTGATGATGATGATGATGATGATGATGATGATGATGATGATGATGCTGATGATTGCCCTCGGGGGCCCTGATGATGCTGATGATAATGCTGATGATGCTGATGATGATGGTGCTGATGATGATGATGATGCTGATTATGATGATGATGGTGATGGTGGTGGTGGTGATGGTGATGGTGATGGTGACGGCGATGGTGGTGATGATGATGATGCTGATGATGTTGATGATGATGATGATGATGATGTTGATGCTGATGCTGATGAGGATGATGATGAGGATGATGATGATAATGCCGCTGCTGCTGCTGCTGCGACTGATGATGCATGAGTGAGTGGGTGAGTGAGTGAGTGGGTGAGTGGGTGAGGAAGGGTGGTGGAGATGGAGATGGTGGTTGTGGTGATGATGATACTGGTGATGGTGATGACGATGACGATCATGATGCTGATGCTGCCGATGATGATGCCGATTCGGATAATGCTGTCGCTGATTCTGCTGATGATGATCTTGAAGGTGATGATGACGATGATGATGATGATGCTGATGATGATGATGATGCTGATGAGGACGTTGATGATTATGATGCTAATGCTGACGATGATGTTGTTGATGAACATGATGGCGAGGATGATGATGCGGATGAGGATGAGGATAAGGATGATGAGGAGGATGAGGATGAGGATGCTGATGATGATGATGATGCTGATGCTGGTGATGCTAATGACGATGGTGATGCTGATGCTGTTGGTGAGTCTGAGTATGATGATGCTGATGTTGTTGGTGATGATGGTGGTGGTCATGATGATGGTGATGGTGATGATGATGATGATGATGATGATGATGATGATGATGCTGATGATGATGACGATGATCATGATGATGATGATGATGATGATGATGATGATGATGATGATGATGATGATGATGATGATGATGATGATGATGATGATGATGATGATGATGATGATGATGATGGTAGTGATGGTGGTGATGTTGATGAATGGGCGAGTGCGTGAGTGAGGAGCAGCGGAGGGGAGGAGGAGTGTATTGCGCGGGGGGTCCAGCGAAAGCATTAACCCCTATTCTTTACGTAGGGAAAACGCAAATCATGAGGACACGGACGGGCCAAGGCGGCCGCGAAGGGGGCGTGGGGGGAGGGGCCGATAGAGGGAGGGGGAGGGGGCGGGACGGTAAAGAGCGTGGGAGTGAGGAACAGAGGGATATCAGGGGGAATGACAGGGCGAACACGGGAGGAGGTGATGCTTAGGAAATGAGGAGGGAGGCTGCGCCCGCGCCGGCGGCGGCGAGGTCGTGTTCGGCATCTTCGACAGGAACAAGGCCTGCCCCGCTGGGGCGTAGCGCCCTCTTCGTCAGCCCAGCGCCTTCCCTTCCTGCTCCTCCTCTGCCATCTGATTCCTGATTCCTGGTGGCTTGAGAGATCGTCGATCGCAGGTCTCCCTCTGCCATCTTCTCCTCCTCCGCCTCCTCCTCCTCCTCCGCCTCCTCCTCCTCCGCCTTCTCCTCCTCCTCGTCCTCCTCCTCCTCCTCCTCCTCCTCCTCCTCCTCCTCCTCCTCCTCCTCCTCCTCCTCCTCCTCCCCCCCTCCTCCTCGTCCTCCTTCTCCACCTCCTCCTCCTCCTCCTCCTCCTCCTCCTCCTACTCGCCATCGGCATTCGAGACCAGAGATGGGGCTTGGGTCGAGCTTTGCTTGACGTGGGACTGGCCCAAGCCGATCCCTGGCACATGGTGTCCCAGATAGCCTCCATAGCACCCCTTATTAGGTCCAGGATCACCTCCAGCTCCCCCACACCAGAAGCGGTATGTTCCTGGATTGGAGGAAGATGCGGGGTCAATTTGGGCTTGAATCGTCGTCATCATCATCACCATCATCATCATCATCATCATCATCAGCAGCATCAGCATCATCATCAGCAGCAGCAGCAGCACCAGCACCACCACCACCATCACCACCACCACCATCACCATCAGCATCAGCAACAGCATCAACAACATCATCAGCATCCTCCTGAGTGGGGGCGGAAGCCTTGACGCTTGGGGGGGGGCTGGTACCGGTCCGAGGCATGGCAGCGCTACTGGCGGAGCTTGCCCTGGGGGTCCCACAGCCACGCCAGGGTGGTTTCGAAGAAAAAATGATGCCTCGCTTCGCTGCCTGCTCGGACGGGCAGAGTGAAGAGGAGGAGGAGGAGGAGGAGGCGGTCGAGGAGGAGGAGGAGGAGGAGGAGGAGGGAGGAGGAGGAGGGAGGAGAGGGGAGAGGAGGAGGACGAGGAGGAGAAGGGGGAGGAGGGGAGGAGGAAGACGAGGGAGGAGGGGGAGGAAGGAGGAGGATGGAGGAGGAGGAGGGCGGAGGAGGGAGGAGGAGGAGGAGGAGGAGGAGGGGGAGGAGGGGGAGGAGGACGAGGAGGAGGAGAGGAGGAGAAGGAGGAGGAGGGAGGAGACGAGAAGGAGGAGGAGGAAGGAGGAGGAGGAGGAGGAGAGGAGGAGAGCGGAGAGGGGAGCAGACGGGGTCCGAGGCTCCGGTCGCCATGTTCTGCGATGTCGTGTTTTGTTGCGCCGCATGACGTGCCCCCCCATCCCACCAGCGGGCGCGCGCGCGGGCTGGCCGCCTCCGCGTCCGCCCAGGATGGCGCGGTGGACGCCGACGACTTGACGGGGGTCTTCGGAGAGGAGGAAAGCCCAGCCGACAGACCGACGGGAAATCCCGCCCACTCGCAATCTCGGCAACGGGTCTCCATTTCCTTCCCCTGCCCGCGCGGCCCATTCCCTTCCAATCCCGCCGCCCCGCCGCGTCCTCTTCTGCAGCGAGGCAGCGCGCCACTGCCCGCTGCCCTCCGCGAGAAGAGTTCCCGAGCCCCGGGGCATGGACTGAGGGCGGTCCCCAGGATCGGGAGCAAGCCAAGAGGGAGGTGATGACTAGGGGGGGGGGGGGGATTTCATGGCGGGGGCCATGATGCCCCTCCAGATTTCTTGGCGCCTCGTCTCATTCCAATGCGTCCCCTGCCCCCCGTCTGGCCGCGCGCATGCCGCCGGCCATGATCTGCGCCTCCGGCCCCCCCCCTGAACGCCCCCCTCTTGGACGCCACCGACCTGGCCTCCGACAGCACAACCGAGTGTGATTCGCAGGTCGGCTCTACCAAAGCAAGGGCACCCCTGGCTTCCTGTCGTTTGGCGGCCCTTGCCTGCCGCATTCCTCTGGCGATGTGGCCCTCGGAAGGGTCTTGGGTTCTCTCGCGTGTCCCCTCCAGTCAAGCCCGATGGTATGTCCTTTACTCCCTCGGAAGTTGCTCCGGGACAAAAAGATAACCTCTGGGGCTGCAGTGATTGGGAGTTCTGGGGCCGCGCATATACAACTAGCCTGGCGAGGGACTCGGCCAGATGCAGCTGCGAGTACCGCGAGACAGGTGGAAATTACAGGGAAGGGGCCAGCAGAAGGACTGAGGCGTGCGTGAGAAGGACGGAGCGACGTTGCCGATGGCATTGCAGAAGTCAGCTGCAACGGGTTCCATCTGGACACAACCCGTCACGGCTGATCTGAGCGTCCGTCGGCCTGGCTTCGCGGAGTAGCAGGGTGCGGTGTGGGGAGCAGAAGGCGGCGGGGTCTCCTTGGTGGATTCCACGTAACCTGCGAGAGGTGTGCCCAAATGGGCGCGGTCACGCATGCGATTCCTGCCGATGGGTCATTCGGTGGAGCTTCCTAGGGGGCCGCGGAACGTGCGAAGGGTGTGCTAAAATAATTCGGTGCAGTCAGCGGGCACGCATGCGATGCCCGCCACTAATTGGGGCCTTCGGCGGAGCTCCTTCTGGTGGGGCCGCGAACCGTTCGAGGCGTGTGCCGAAATGGGTACGGTCACCCATGCGAGTCCTGCCAATGGGGCCATAGGCGGAGCTTCATAGCGGGCCACGTGTGATGGGTGTGACGGCATGTGCACTGTCACGCATGCGATTAGTTCGATTGGGGTGCCTTCGGCGGAGCTCCTTGTGGGAACATGTAGCGTGCGAGGGGTGCGCCAGAATGGTCTCGAGAAGGCATGGCATGTGAGCGCAGCCACTGGGGCCTTGGGTGAAGCTCCCTATGCGGCCACGAAGCGTGTGAGGAGTGTGCCAGCATGGACACGGTCACGCATGCGATTCAAGAGAATGGGGCCTTCGGTGGAGCTCCTTATGGGGCCCCGTGTGAGGGGTGTGCCGAAATTGGCACGGTCACTCGTACGATTCTTGGCACTGGTGCCTTAGGTGGAGCTCCCCATGGGGCCGCGAAGCGTGTGAGGGGTGTGCCAGAATGGTCTGGAGAAGGCATGCGAACGCAGCCATCGGGGCCTCAAGTGGAGCTCCCTCCAGAGCCACGAAGCGTGTGAGGAGTGTGCCAAGGAGGGCATGCGGGCGCAGCCACTGGGACATTATGTGCAGCGCGGGCGCAACCACTAGGGCCTGAGGTGGGGGCCAGTGCGCCAAAGTGGGGTGGCGGCGGCATGCGGGCGCAACCACTGGGGCCTTAGGTGGAGCCCCCCATGGGGCCACGAGACGTGCGAGGGGTGCGCCAAAGTGTCATGGGAGGGCATGCGGGCGCAGCCACTGGGACCTTACGTGGAGCTTCCCATGGGGCCACGAGACTTGCGAGGGGTGCGCCAAAGTGTCGTGGGGAGGGCATGCGGGCGCAGCCACTGGGACCTTACGTGGAGCTTCCCATGGGGCCACGAATCGTGTGAGGGATGCGCCAAAGTGGGGTGGCGGCGACATGTGGGCGCAACCACCAGGGTCTTGGGTGGGGCTCCCCATGCGGCCACTCAGCGTGTGCAACGTGGGCCGGCGGCGGCATGCGGGCGCAGGAAGGAGGAGGTCAAGGAGGGAGGGAAGCCGCCCGTCGCCGCTGATAAAAGGACCGAGCTCAACACAGGATGCTTGGGGAAACAACGCAACGTCGGATGTTTGGGCCTGGGCAGGGAACTCGATCTGGCCATCGAGATGCGGGCGGCCAGAAATTGGCCTGGCCCACCCGATCGGACGGTTCGTTCATTCTGCGATCGGAAGGGTGTCTTGCAGTTTGGGAGCACCCTGGGGGCACCGTGACTGCCCAGACCCCCTCGCGCTGTGAAACAAATCATTGTGGGATGGTGTTAATGCCATGTGTGGCACCAGTGGGTCCGCACAGGTCCCCTGGTCTGCCAACATAACGGTTCTGGATGAAAAGCCAATCCCGGAGAAGGAGGCCAGACCTCCAAGTTTTTCACGTTGCGAGAGCATCACGACGTCGATGTTATGGGAAACACAGAGAGGGGGTCAGAGGGAGGAAGCGGCGTGAGGGGGGGGGGGGGAGGTGGAGGGGTGCAGGCTGATGGGGGAGGAGTGCGGACGGGGAGGATGAGGAGGGAACAAAGCGGAGTGCGAAGGCGGAGGAGGAGGAGGAGGAGGAGGAGGAGGAGGAGGAGGAGGAAGAGGAAGAGGACGAGGAGGGTTGAGGAGAATGTAGGATATTCAGCTGTCTGCGGCAAGTTCCACCACAACTCCAGCGTACAACCCCTTGGATCAAAACTTCTGGGCCACAGAGTTCGTGCACGAAGCGTTGCACGTTTTCCATTAGGCAGTGACAAGTCTGTGCCCAGTTGGTACATGTGCTGCAATGGCCGTGTGCGGTACGGACCAGAAAGTCGCATTCCGTCCAGTCGCCTTTCAGGGCGACTTGCCGATTTCTCAAACCGCTTTCCAGTGGCGATGTTTCGCGGGACTCCCCTAAACACATGTTCTGCTTCTTGCAGATGACCGATCGAAATGCGACGATCCACGGGGTGGTGCCTCCTGCTTTCTAGATTGCCGATCCAGATCTGTTTGTTCAGCAGGTGGACCCACTATATGTGGCAAAGCTTGGAGCACCGGGTTGAAGGCTCCCACGTGTGGCACCTCGTCGCCTCTATTCCTCGAGAGGCTCTCCTTGGGGCTGCCGGCTGCCTGGGCCGGCTTGGGGTCTGTCCGAGAGCTCCCACGGGGCCCTCTCGGGGCCCCTCTCCGTGACCCTCTTGGGGCCGCCCAGGGGCCCTCTTTGGGCCATTGTGGTGCCGCCTCGGGCCCCTCTCGACCGTCGGGGCCGCCCTCTTGGGACCAGAGCGACGGAGCCTCCGTGGGCCGTCTCGGGTCCTCTTCTGGGCTGTCCGTGGGCCCCGGTGAGGCCGCCCTGGCCGCTTCCAGATGTTGCGCGTGTGCTGGACGTCATAGCGCTGGCTCTGCAGCCCCGCTCTGTTTTAGACGGTGCCAGGATGCCTTTCACTTCACCTCCTGTGCTTCCGCCCCCGACTCGATTGCACCTCAGATTGCTCGCACCTCGTCCCCCTCCTCCAATTTAGAGGGCGGCCTGTCTTGATTGCACATCAAGACATTGTGTCATCACAAGGGCCTCTAGGACACCACAGTCGGCGGATTGAACATATTGTGCTGGCCTCTGGCCAGTGCCGCCGATCCTGGGCGCTCCGGATGATGATGGTGATGATGCTGATGTTTATGATGATGACGGCGATGATGATGATGATGATGATGAGGAGGAGGAGGAGGAGGAGGAGGAGAAGGATTGCGATGACGATGATGATGACGATGATGATGGTGACGGTGATGGTGATGGTGATGGTGATGGTGGTGGTGATGATGATGATGATGATGCTGATGATGATGATGACGATGATGATGGTGTTTATCTTGGTAATGACCATGGAGCTATCTCGGGCGTCTTGGACATTTCGTTCGGTGATGCGGGGCTTTCTTGGCCGTCTTGAGGGCCTCTTGGGGCCCTGTTGGCTTGTCTTGGGCCTCTCTTGGGCTCGAAAAAGTCACGCGGGAACATTCAGAGGGCGCGCGGGGAGCCTCAAGAGATTTGAGAGCTTGGGGTCCGGGCCCATGAAGAATCCTCAGGCTTGGGGACTAAGGCTCAGGGGATTGAGCAAGGGACCTGGGGAAGCCTCTTGGGGGTCGTTTTGGGGCCTCTTGGGGCCTCTTTCGGGCCACTTGGGGGTCTTCTGGGGCCCCCTGGGGGCTTCTTGGGGGCCTGTGGGCCCCCCCGCCCGGGAGCACTACATGCGTCGGGAATGGCCTCCCCCCCCTTCAGAGCCTCATGCGGGCTTCTTACTTAGCGGCCTGTGGGCCCCCCGCCCCGGAGCGCTAAATGCGTCGGGAATGGCGTCCCCCCCCCCCTTGCAAAGCGAAGCTTGAGCGAGGAGCTCAAGTCCACGCTCTCAGAAACTCACACGCCGGATCGGCGGATTTCAGCGCAGTGGAGATGGCGCGCGAGCGCGAGCGCGCCTAGCTTGCCTTCTACACCTCTCACCGCCCTCCGCTGATTGATCCTGGAAGCTGAAGCGGCCCCGAACACAGCGGTGCACGTCCTTTCGAAGGGGCCTGGGCGATGCCCTGGACTGCAGTTCCCGTTTGGTACTCGGAGGCGCGCCCAGGGGGGCGGGCCTTCAGCTCCATCCCGACCGTCGCTGCTGGAAGGCTCGAGCCTTGTCCGCTTGAAGTGTCCAATCCAATCCAATCCAATCCTCCTCCTCCTCCATCTCTTTTCGTTACAAGGGACTCCCCCTATCGCGCCCCCAGACGTGTCGGTAGGGTGGACCGGGCGTTTGCCCGAACTTTTGTCACCATGTATGCTCCTTAAGCTTGAAGCTTGAATTCCGGAGCAGCTTCAAGAT